AAAAATAGCCAGGCATTGTGGTGGGCGCCTGTAGTCCCAGCTACTTGGGAGGCAGAGGCAGGAGACTCGCTTGAGCCCAGGAGTTGGAGTTGCTGTGAGCTGTGATGCCTCGGCACTCTACCCAGGGTGACAACTTGAGGCTCTGTCTCAAAAAAAAAAAGAAAAAGGAATAGGTGGGGGGCGCCAGCCCCATATGCTAGAGGTGGCAGGTTCAAACCCAGCCCCAGCCAAAAACTGCAAAAGAAAAAAAAAAAGGAATAGGTAGAGCAGCGCCTGTGGCTCAGCTGGTAGGGTGCTGGCCCCATATACCAAGGGGGTGGGTTCAGAACCAGCCCCAGCCAAACTGCAACAAAAAAATAGCCGGGCGTTGTGGCAGGCACCTCCCAGTTACTTGGGAGGCTAAGGCAAGAGAACTGCCTAAGCCCAGGAGTTGGAGGTTGCTGTGAGCTGTGTGAGGCCTCGGCCCTCTACCAAGGGCGATAAAGTAAGACTCTGTCTCTTAAAAGAAAAAAAAATGGAATAGGTAATTCATATCTCCATCTCTTCCAAAGGTAAAAGACTTTTCTTCTTTTTTCTGATTTTCTATCTCTTACCCAGAGTACCTACAAGTATGGTTTTCTAAAATACATAGTTTTTTCTAAAGAACCCAATTTCTTGTGTCCTTCGTCCAGTGTCTTAGGATTTGACCCTTAATCTACTGGTATTAGCTAAGTTTCAAGCAAACATGACTTATCACTGTTCAAATTTTCAAATTAAATGACTCACCATATAGCACTATGAGACTTTCTCTAAGGTTTCCAAAATAATCACCTTTAGTAAGAAAATGGCCAAAGCCCTCTGCCACCTCAACGTCCCTGTCACTGTGGTGCTGGATGCTGCTGTTGGGTAAGTGCCCATCTTCCCCAAGTCACCTTTCCTTGCCCACCCAAGGTTGGCTCCCAGCGGGGTTTTCACATTGGCAGTTTGAATTCCATTCATAAAACTGCACTGGGTAGCATCCCACCTCTTAATTAATAGCTGCACTAAGTCAGCAAGCTCATTATAAGATCTTGATAGTGTACACACAAAAGACAGAGTTGTAGGATAGGATGTTGGGGAGAGTAGGAGTTTGTATCCTTAGTTTCATGGATCTAAGTGTTTGTACATTTTAAGAGCAAGATACCAAGGTGCAATATACCCTGATCAGCACTTAGAGTAATCAGTGCTTTCTCTTCATTTGAAGACCTGAGCTGTCCTCGGTGCCACACTGAGATGCTTTGTCTCACCCAGGCAACTTCTAAAAACCAAGGTCACATGTTCCCGGGATTGTCAATGTATTTTTCACAAGAGAAAACAGGAGTAATAATCTCTTGGGAAGAAAACATGATGAAGTAAAATTAGGGATGTGTTCAAGAATAAGCATTTTAAAGAAATCTGCTCATTTTACAAAGTAAACTGCCCTTCACCCTACTAAAAAGATTGCCTAACATTTTGTTCCAACCTCAGATCTCATCAGCTTTTAAAATTTTCATGTTTTTAATATTGAAGTAGAACAGAAACTCCACAATACCACACTAGTAAAGATGAGTACTGTATCATGAAATTCTTGCCTCAATTACACACTTAGGCTGGCTGGGCGAGGTAGCTCATGCCTGTAATCCTAGCACAAGGCGGGTAAACCGCCTGAGCTCAGGAGTTTGAGACCAGCTTGAGCAAGAGTGAGACTCCATCTCTACTAAAAATGCAAAAACTAGCTGGGCATTGTGGCAGGAACCTGTAGTCCCAGCTACTTGGGAGGCTGAGGCAGGAGGATCACTTAAAACCAAGGGTTTAAGAATGCTGTGAGCTGGCTCCGCGCCTGTGGCTCAAGCGGCTAAGGCACCAGCCAC